TCAGTTGTGATTCTTGTTTTTCTTTCCTAGTTTACTTGTAAGTTTCAAGGAGGGGCTGCAGCTCGCGCCTCTCGTTGGGATGATGTATGAACTCACTCTAATTTGCTTCTAAATCAATAAACTTATTATTATTCATCAAAAAAAAAAAAATGAAACCAGTAAATTTTCCAGATTTACCTGAGTTGCTGGTAGAATGCTATTTGCAAGTTCCTCATTGATTGACACAGGCAGTGGTGGCATCTGGCTCATGATTCCAGGCATGGCTCTCATACTGCAGAAATCAAAGAAATGCCATCCCAAACAATCAGTACCATTGCAGACAAATATGAACTAGAACAAATAAAAAAGGCTGTAATTGTTTGAATAGAAATGTCAGCAATTTTGGCGTACTCGTTTAATATGGATGCTATATTGTTTCTTGTGCAACAGAAGAGATCGATGTTCTCCTGTATCTGTATGAAAAGGAATTAAATTCAAAATAATTGCAAATTGAGATAACAAAATAAAACACATACAAGAAGTGACTAGTGAGCAGCACTTCTGAATAACAAGGGAATGATTTTCAGGCAAAGGTACAAGTTAAAGTTGACCTTCCACACACACACATATGCAGAGGGGTTAGGATAACCATTTGTAAGTGTTAGACATGTCAAGGATTAAAATTTCACCACATATTGGGGCGTATCGGCCGATATGTATCATATCGGGGCCCCTCTGATATGCCCCTACCCTACACAAGGTGTTTCAGGGTCCCACCTATTTCAGGGGGTAGGCAAGCCAAGATACAGCCCAATGCGCCCCTACCAGTGTATAGGGCTGTATCAATATTTTGATCTTTGAGACATGTAGATTTATTTCTGTATTTTCTACTAGATTTGACAAGGGTATAAGAGTCTATTCAGTTTTAGGGAAAATTTCTGTTTTTATCAATTATAAGAGTATTCTTGTAACCTTAGATTATTTCAAGAGATGGATTATGCTATCTGTTATAAATGATTAGAATGAAGAGAGAAGAGACAAGGGAGAAAAGATAATTAATCTTTTGGCAAGGTGGCGCCAACAGTCTTCTTATATATCAAGAGCATTCTGAAATGACATGAAAAGACACAAATACCCCTTTACCAAAATAACTTTTTTTTGGTAACAGATAAATTACTTTTCATTCAGACATTCAGACGAGGAGGCACAAGCCTGATCAGGGGACTCAATCCACTTTGCCAACCAAAAAGGCATGGCTTCAGTGAAAGACCCCTCACCTTTAAGAGCTTCACAAGAAATAGCCCCATTCAAATTGGATCATATATGTCATACACGTCAACTTGTCACAAAGCTAATTATTGTACAAGATGGTTACACTGTTTGTTAATATATAAACTAGTTGCTTGTTGGAGCTTAAGAAAGGAAGAAAAGTTTCACCTATACACTTCTCACGAATGAAGTGCTTGTGGACCCAATATGCTTGGTCGTCCTGTTGAATTTTGTTGTGGAGCTATATTAATGATTGTCTTGTTGCCACAATACAATAACACGAAGCCATAAGTAGGAAAACTCAATTCAAACAACAGACTTTTTGTCCACAGGATTTCAACTACTACCTATGCCATGGCATGACAAAATGCTTTAGCACTTGATTTGGATGCTAGTCTGTTAATTTATTAGTCACCCACATAATTAAATTCCTCCTTTAAAAGCTGCAATAACCTATGGCAGATATCTTATCATCAATATATTTAATCCAATAAGTATGTGTATTATACATAAAATATTGGATACATCTCTAATATTTAACAAAAATAAGTATTATACATAAGAAATAATTTTACCAATGATGGAAATGTAATGCAAAATTTAATGTCAACCTAGAAATCAAACTATTAGGTTAGTGGTTTGGGTCAAATGGACTAATCAATGATATGATAGTTAAATAATAAATCTTTAAAAAAAGTACAAGTAATCAAAAGAATATATAAAAATTATATATTAATTATGTCAAGCAAAAATTAAGTGTGATAAGTAAAAATTATTTATATAATGTAGATGAAACATATAATTTAAAACTGATCTGAAATCAAAGCTATTTTCTTTTCTAGATGGTGGGGCAATGATCCAACTTTTCAAAGAAACTCATGATGTTATAATTGAATAATAAATATTTAAAAAAAAAGATAGAACACAAAAAATGAAAAAGTACAGAATTTTATCAAAAATATTTGGGAACATTTCTAATGTTATATATTCATTATATTAAATAAAAATATTTGTTAAAATAAAAATTATTTTTTTTTGACAGAAAATGGAATACAAAATTTAATAATAATGTTATTGTAATTTAAAATTTCCACGTGCAATGCATGTGCACGTTTACTACAAGCATTTAAGTTTATTTTTAATCATATTGTTACTTTTGTTAATTTTCAATTTCTATCTTAACTATGATATGTCTAAAATTCAAATAATTAATATGAAGAAAATTTTCTCACATGCAATGCACATGCTTAATTACTAGTAAAACAAAATGGACAAAAACAATTCAGTAAATAAGAGGAAAAAGATTGAAATAGCTCTACTCATCCAACTCTAACATGATTAATGTTGAAGGGGCAAGCAGAGGTAACCATGGGGTATGTGGTGGTGAATAGAGTAGTTGCCTTGCTTCATATTGTGGGCCTTACACTAACATTGCCAGCTTGTCGCTGAGTGTAGAGCAGCTTTAGATGGGATAAAATAAGTCATTTCCCCTGGGTATCAGAAAGTTGTTTTTGGTTCTGGTTCTTCTGTCTTGACTGACATTTTGGAGTACCGGTGTTAACCAGCCTGACTCTGGTATTGGTTGAAAGAAATATGGACAGCCACTTCAGGTTTGACTTGTTGATTCATCCACAATTATCATGAAGGTTACAAAGTTGCTGATGCTTTGGCAAACATTGCCTCTGATCAAGAACCTAACTCTGTATTTGTCAACTAGTGAAATGCCAGACTTTGTCAACCAATTGATCAAGGATGATGGAATCGGCATCCCTTTTCTTGGTCAATGTTTAAATGTTCAGAGCCTCTTAATGAATCATCAAACAGTTCATGCTTATCTGAGCTAATGACCATCTTGTATATATTTTTAGAGTGAGGTATCTACATCCCCTCAAGGATTTCCTTTGAATTATTAATAAAATATTTGAGCAACCCCTTCACCAGGAGTAAAGTTTGGGGTTTAAAGAAAAAAAAGAGACAATCGATATTATTTATAGGAACAGAGGGCAATAGATAGAATTCTTTTCATATCATCCTTATTTTCTCTCACAGCTACAGATTTAACTAACATTTTGTTATCATAAATCATCAAGGATAAGCAATATCCCCAAGGGAAAATGAGGACTAAGATATTCACCTTAAGTGATGAAAGGTTAGCTGCAATTTGTCTAAAAAAATTCGTATTCTCATCCAATAGATGCCTGGTTGTACCACCTGCTGCTGGGACTAGACAAACAACAAGGATGATAAATGAAAAGACCAATAAACAAAATGAACAGCCAAAAGACCAAATTATCAGTAAACGAAATGAACAGAAAAGTGAGCATAGATTTTAAACCTTAGAAAAGGAAATACTACAAAAGAAACCATGAATCAGACAAAGTATTTCCTCTATATGTGGAACAAAAGTACCAAACACTTAAGAGGCCATTTCATAACAGGAAAAGTGGCTAAACTAAAAAGCTTATTGCTTCATCTTTTAGTGAATAAGATTTTAAGGAGGTCCGAGGCTCCTTAATAGCTGAAACTGAAGTTGGGTATCTTACTATTATGTAAAATATTTTATTATTTATCCACTAAAAGACAAAACAAGTCATTCAATTCAGCAACTTCAGCAGTTATCAAACAGCCCCTTAGAGAATGAGATGCACTTAATTAACAAACTACTAAAAAGACATGTATCTCCAAGAACATGCTAGTATATGACAAAAAAATAAAAAGGTTGTCCCAGCTAGGGATGCAAAGGGATCGGATCGGATTCGAATCAGGGTATATTTGAATCCTATCAGTAAGTCAGATCTTCAGATCTGATCCAATCCGACTTGTTTTCTTTAAAAATTAATAAAATATTAATAGAAAATTAAAATATACTAATTTAAATAAAGTAAAAAACAAAAAATACAAGTATTTTTAATTATTTCCATCATATATATACATGTTTTTATAAAAAATAAATAATATAACAATTTTATAAAAATATATATTTATAAATGAATAACATATATATATATATGTATTTATAAAATATATAATATATATCAGATCGGATCTTTTCGGATTGGATAGGGGGTAATCTGAATCCGATCTGATTTCTGATCAGATCCTATTATCCGATCCAATCCGAATATCCGAATAGGGGTGATCCAAATTCGACCAAATAGGATCGGATTGGATCATGATCCGATCCATTTGCACCCCTAGTCCCAGCTATCCAAGGTCTCGGGAGGGGTAGGCTGGATATGGGCCTAACCCTTGGCACTTTACACAAAGTGAACCTAAGAGCTTCAAAATCCAGAAATTCCTAACGACTTCAAAAGAATGGATACAGACCCCGTATTACACTTACATTACCAATACAGACTATGTTCTATGTTATTTGCAACTTTGCACAAGGATTCAGACATTCAGAATTTGACATAGCTTTCAAGGTGCCAAGGCAAAGCTAGGTGATAGGAGAACACCATGTTGCCTAGGCGATGAGTTTTTCAATAAGGGTTGAGCCCTTGTTTTGGTCCTAGGAAGAAGAAGATGGTGATGATGAAGTCGTATTCAGTGTTTTAAAAGTGCAAGGCGCAAGGGCCAATTTGCGCTTGAGGCGCAATGTGAGGTGTGCACCTTTTTAATAAAGGCACAAAACTAAAAAAAAAAAGGTCAGAAAATTCAAAATAGTGCCAAAAAAATGGAAAATTTTCAAAAAGTATTAAACATAGTGTTAATAAAAAATATAAGCATAAATTTTAAAATAAATGTTTTAAAAAACCAATTATCTAAAATTAAAATACATAAACATAACATGTAAAGCGTATTCAAATGAAAATTTAAAAATAAAAGCAAACATATAAAGCATTTTCAAGCACGTAAAACCCACAATCTCTTTTTTTCCTTAATTGCATTGCTTCAAGTAGCTAATGTGATGTAAAACATATTGCATTCTTGATTCTATGAGTCGCCTTTGTACTATGCCCCTCGAGGCAAGCCCGAACAAGTTCATGTTAGCCTAGCCGTTAGACTCAAAAAAAGGCAAAAAGCGCAAAATTTTAAAAAGGCGCATGCCTGGGCTGAGGTGCAAGGCACATCAAGCACACGCCTAGGCGCACCAGGCGTGTGCCTTTTGAAAGGGGTGCGCCTAGGACCTGGGCGAGGTGCATACCCCAAAATGCGCCTCGCCTATGCGCCTAGGCACGCCATTTAAACCACTGGTCGTATTGATTTTTCTTGTGTGTCAATTGGATAAAAAATTCAAGTTACATCTTACTTTATCAATTCAGGTTTTGAAGGGTTCAAGACTATGAGGCCATTTGACAGCTGAAGGTGCTGAACTGAAATGCTTATAAATTTGTCTTTTAGTGAAAACGGCTGAAACTTGAATTGGATTGATCACTATACCCTTGAAAGTTTTATTTATTTATTTTATCATATAAAAGACAAAGCAATAAGTCTTTCAGTTCAGCAACTCCAATCGTTATCAAATGGCCCTTATGTCAATGACTTGTGTATCAATTGAACCTAAAAAAGAATAATAAAAAAAAAACTAGGATAAGAAAGAAATAATAGGATCTTCCAAGGATCTGAAAGATCTAAGGAGAAAATCATTGATTGCATAACTACCAAGGTTATACATTGGCTAGAGTCATCTCCTTTACATGGAGACTATTCAGCTAAGGACTTGTTAGAGGTTGGAATGTAGTGGTAAATTCTTCTACTTTGAAGGCTATGATAAAGCAACAATGGGTCCCTCCAGCACAAGTGAAGCTGAATTTTGATGGAAGCTCTTTAGGCAACCTAGGTCCCTCTAGAGTGGGAGGAGCTTTTAGAGATAGGGAGGGCAGATTGATTGTACTGTACTCTGGTCCAATAGGTTTTGGAGACTTATTGAGAGCAGAGGTTATGGCTTTGCTCCAAGGCTTAAGGTTGTCTAAGCAATGGGGCTTACACCAAATTGAGGCAGAAGGGGACTCTAAATTATTAATTGGGTGGATGCAGTCACATAATTTGAGGGTCTGGGTACATCAACAACTTATGAGGGAAGTTAATTGCTTGGTAAGGGAGGTTAGGGTACTGTTTAGGTGGACAAGGAGATCAACAAATGGATTAGCTGACACCCTGGCAAAGCAAGGAACTTTCAGGGATAACTTGTTTTGGGCTGTTTTGTAATTTGGAAACAATCTTCTTGGGGTCAACACCCTCTGGTTTGGGTGGTGACAGTGTACTATTTTAAATGTTTTCTAATGAAAGCTACCGTTTCTGATCAAAAAAATAATAGTAATATTAGTTTTATAAACCCACAATATGAACAATTTAGTCTAATAATATCTATTGCACCACTTATTGTGGGACTTAAAAGTATGGGCTTTGGTCCATTTATGTTATAACTTTTCTATTTCTTGTTGGGCTGTACTGTTATTAAGTGTTAATGGGCCTAGGCCTTCTTTGAAGTTACTTTACCTTTTACTAATGGGGGTAAAGTTGTCATCTCATGTTTTTTTTAAGATAAAATAAAAATTTTATTAAAAGAAAAAGAAATACACCAGACCAAGATGGTGAAAAGGAATCACCATACAAGTACAAAAGGCTACTAAGACATCAAAACAAGCCAGATCCACACGCCAACCCAAATCCAGCCAAAATCACAACAAAAAACTTAAAACAGAAACAAAATCATCTACCCACATCTTGAACCTCTATGCAAGTTGCACTGAAAACACCAGAGTTAATCTTTCCAGATACATGAAAAAGGCTAGCAAGAAGCAAAACCTTGTAGGCAACATAACAAAAAAGAACTCCCCCCATCAAACCCAAGTCTTTTACAACTCCTCAACAGCTTCCTCCCTCCCCAACTGCAACTTTGCAAGCTCTCCATTATTCTTCATCCACTTCTCCTTCCTCTCCCCCTTCACTTTCCTCCCAGGTCTCCCCCCCTTCTCCCAAGACCCTCGACTTGTTTAACTCTTCCCTTCTGTTAATTTGGTTTCAGATTTGGTCTGGTTTGGTTACAAGAACGAACTTTGAAAATGTAGTTTTTTAAACTGGGAATAGGATTCCCGGATGGGAGTAAAGAAATTTTTGAAATTTCGCCAAACCTTCCTACAGGATCTGGCCATCCATATGATGGATCTCCCATCCCTTTAGTTCCTCAGGCTGATATTCTGCAGCTTCACTGTTTTCCACCATTCCCGTTCTTTCTCAGGGATGCCATCTAATGTATTATTGTTTTTTTTTCTTTTGCTAAGTCATCTCATGCATTATTGTTGCCCTAATATAAATGTCAATTTGATGGGCTGGTAAGAGAGTGTCGCCCTATTCTCTATCTTCTTCCTCTCTCTTTTCTTCAAGAATCTGAAAACATACATGGTATCAGAGCAATAACCTGCTCTTATTCTGCTCGCCTACCTTCTTCTTCACCTCCTCTTTCTTCTTAAGTTTTCTTTTTTATTGTTGGAGTGACGAGGAACTCTACTGCTCGTCATGGTTAGCTGAAGCTGTTTCTAGGGTTCTTTCCTTGGAAAAAACTCCCAAGGAGGCCCAAAGTAGTTGCTGATATGCCCAGGTAGGGCAAAAAACTGTGTAGTCATATGGACTACCAGCGGGACTGCAAGTAGTATCAGTCCAGGAGATCCATGTAAACTCCAGCCCAGCTTATTCTTGGAGTTTGAGCAAGGGGAAGTGTTGTTTGACCTGTTCTACAAATTAAATATCAGTTTTACTCCAGTTGCCAAGTTAAACACCATATGGGCATTATTATCTCTAGCGGTTAATTACAATTGGAAATTGCACTAGTTGGATGTCAAGAATGCATTTTTGAATAGACACCTTCAAGAGGAAGTTTTTATGGGCTTAAGCAATCACCTAGGGCCTGGTTTAAAAGATTGTGCAAGGCAATAAAGAATATGGGGTACCATCAAAGTAGTGGTGATCACACACTATTCTATAGAAAAAGGGGAGAGAAATTATCAACATTGTTGTATATGTGGATGACATGGTGGTGACAGGAAATGATTCAGAGGATATCAAAAGACTTGAGAAGATTTTGGCCTTAGAGTTTGAGATAAAGGACTTGGGACCTCTAAGGTACTTCCTAGGAATAGAGGTGACCAGGTCTAGAGAAGGAATTTATATTTGTCAAAGGAAGTATGCCTTCAACCTCCTAAAGGAGATAGGAAAATTAGGGAGCAGGCCAATTGAGACCCCTATAAAGCAAAACCATGGATTACAGGAAAAGGATGAGG